TGGTCCCTCGGCGGCGAAGGAGGCCCTGCGTCGTGGGTGGGGGGGTGGCTCTGACCTCAGCTGCTCCACCTCCTGGGACGCGGTCTGAAGCTTCAAGTTCGCGGCCGTGATCTCTCCTGGAGCCAGACAGAAGCAGGGGCACGTGGCCACGCGCCACCCGGCCCCACTCTGGGCCCGGAAGCCCCCCAGCCCGGGTCCCCGCCTCCTCCTGCCCTCTTCAATCCCGTCTCCCCCCTCCCCCAGCCCCTTTTCCTCCCCTGGCTTACCCTGAAGCTCTTCCACTCGCTTCTGGCCTTGGGCCTTCTCTGCCTCCAGGGAGGACATCAAGGTCGCCTGGGACAGAGGGTCAGGTGCAGACCCCTTTCAGGGTCCCTTCCAGCCGCTCTGGACTTGTCTCCGCCCTCAAAGAATGGCCACAACCACACACTTCCGAGGGCCAGATTTTGAGCTCCCCGCCCCCATGGAAATTTAGTCTCTCCATACTCAAACTCTGGTAGAAATTTCCAGATCCCCGGGGCAATGTCCCAAGAAGGTTTCAAGGGCCACACCAAACCCAGAAGATGGGGGACTTCCCGGCCCAAGTTACATATCCAGTGAGAGTTTCGAGGTCCCCCATCAGGACCCAGATGAATATTTCAGTCTCTCAGGAGTGCAGTGGATGTTTCAGGAGCCCCTTTTTCAGGGCCTGGTGAGGTCCCCGTTCAATCACTAGTCGGAATTTCTGCTGCCCATGGGGAGTTTCAAGCGTACCCACACCAGTGCCCTGGAGTGAGTTTGGAGACTCCCCCAAGAGCTGGTGGGGACACGGAGCTTTCTGATTTGGGTGCTCCGGGAAGTTTGCTTTTGTTTTTTTGAGTCAGGGTCTCACTGTCACCCAGGCTGGAGTGCAGTGGCAGGATTGTGGCTCACGCGCAGCCTTGACCTGGCCTCAGATGATCCTCTTGTCTCAGCCTCCAGAGTAGCTGGAACTACAGGCGTCACCACCATGCCCAGCTACTTTTTTGAGTTTTTGTAAGACGTGTAAAGCTATGTTGCCTAGGCTGGTCTCAAATTCCTGACCACAAGCAGTCCTCCTGCCTCAGCCTCCCAAGATGATGAGATTACAAGTGTGAGCCACCGCGCCTGGCCTCAGGGACATTTTAAGGCCCACAATAGTGCCCTGGAGGGAGTCCCCAGACCCTGGTGGGGAAATCCAGGCCTCCGATGTGGTGACCTCCCCTTTTCTCCCTGGAGACCCTGTGTTGGGTCTCTGGGGAGAGTTTCTTGGCCCCTCCAAGCACCAGGCCCTCTGAAGGAGTTGCACGGTGACTTACCACAGTGTGGTTGCAGGTGGCGGCCTGGGCCTCAGCCTCCTGGAAGCCCTCCTGGGCCCTGGTGAGCTGGCGCTCTAGGAGATGGGTTTCATTGCGACACTCCATCACCGCCAGGAGGCCATCCTGGCAGCCCTTGCTGCTGGCCTTGACAATGAAGATGATGAGGGGCACCCCCAGGGCCACTGTGGTCAGGAGCAGGGTGACGCCCACCCAGGGCAGCAGCCTGGGGCCCCCGGGGCGCAGCCCCTTCCAGCCTTCGTCCATGGCCACTGGCCGGTACTGGCAGAGGGTGGGTGCCATCGGGACCTCCCCCAGATGGAGAGAGTTTGGCCCCGGGTTGGGACGGGCGCCGGGATCCTCTGCGGCCGCCCCCTCATTAGCATGGAGCCCTGGCCAATGGCAAGTTTGGGGAAGTCTCCGACCTGCAGCCCTGGAGGCTGGGGCGCCGGAGAGCAAAACCGCAGGGACTTTCAGTTTCAGTTTCCTAGAAGGGAGGAGGGTCTCGTTTCCCTGGCTTCGTGGCCTTGGGCCCTTCCTGGAAGTAGGCCAGGAGGTCCTGCGGGAGGGAGCCAGGCAGCCTGGGACCCCCCTCAGCCCCTCCCCCACCTCCTGAGTGTGAGCGAGCACCTGTGCGTGCCGGCCTCGCGGTCACCTGTATCACGACCTGAAGGGCCAGGAGCCATCATTGGCGCTCGGTTCCCAGTTGGGGAAACTGAGGCTGCAAGGTTGAGGGGTGGGTGGGGGGCAGGGCCTGGGTCTGACTCAAGAGACTGGGTTTTGTGTGCAGGGATCTCCGCAGTGACCAGCAGGAATTCACCCGGTGCCCCTAACTCTGCGGAGGGGACCTGGGAGCCATGGAGGGTGTGGGAGCAGGGGCAGGTCTGGCGCCCGCGGAAAACTGGGAGACTGGACAGGACCGCGTGGCTCAGGCCGCAGTTGCCAATTGAGCCACCAGAGGCCGCCCCCGCCGACAAGCGAGGTGGCCGGGCTCCAGTGCTGGAACCAGCAGAGACCCAGCTTGTGCGACCCCTGGGCGCCAAGTGTACTCCGCAGCCAGCTCCTCATCTGCAAGGAAGCAGGGCCACCCCAGGCCCAGCCTCCCAAGGAGGAGCCAGAGAGGAGAGGGAGTAAAGTGTCTCGGCATCCAGTAGGTGCTCAATGGGTGTGCTGATCACTCGCCAGGCCCTGGGCTCGGGGCAGGTGGATGGGAAGATGCCGCTGTAGGGATAGTGATGGCGCCCTCTGGACGCCAGGGAGAGGCTGGCCCCTGGGATGGGGGTCAGGGGCGTGCTCCAGCTGCACCGACCATCCCTGCGGCCAGGGGAGCCGGGCCCCGTGGGACAGGGGCCAATGACAGGCGCGTCGACAGCTGGAAGGGGGCTGTGTACTTTTTGTCTCGAGTTGGAGTCTCACTGTGGCCCGGACTGGAGTGCAGTGGCCGCTCCCGGCCACCGCAGCCTCCACCTGCCGGGCTCCAGCAATCCTTCCACCTCAGCCTTCGAAGTAGCTGGAATTACAGGCACGCGCTACCACGCCCGGCTGATTTTTGATTTGTTGTAGAGATGAGGTCTCGCCAAGTTGCCCAGGCGGGTCTCGAACCCACGGGCTTAGGCAATCCACTCACCTCAGCCTCCCAAGGCGCGGGATTACAGGCTGAGCCACCGAGCCCGGCTTAGTTTCTCCTTTTTAATATCCTGCATGAATATGGTACCTTTATTACCATGAATGAACCGATACTGGTGGATACTTATTAACCAAGGCTGACACTTTATTCAGGTTTTCTCCGATTTCCCTGAAGTCTTTTTTCTGTCTCAAGGTCCCATGGGTCTTGCTTGACATTAGTCCTCACGTCCCCTGGGCCCATCTGGGCGGAGGCACTTCAGGTTTGCCTTGCTTTGGTGACCTTGGCAGTTTGGAGGAGCAGTGGTCAGGGGTCCTGTGGAATGTCCCTCTGCAGGTACATGTCTGATACTTTTTTTTTTTTGAGTTGTGGTCTCACTTTGTCGCCCAGACTGGAGTGCAGTGGCCACTCCCGGCCACCACAGCCTCGACCTGCTGGGCTCCGGCAATCTTTCCGCTTCAGCCTTCCAAGGAGCTGGAACTACAGGCATGCGCTACCACGCCCGGCTGATTTTTCGATTGATTGTAGAGATGAGGTCTCGCCAAGTGGCCCAGGCGGGTCTCAAACCTGCGGGCTCAGGCAATGCACTCACCTCAGCCTCCCAAAGGCCTGGGATGACAGGCTGAGCCACTGAGCCTGGCTGTTTTTAACATTTTTAAAGAACTTTTTATGTTAACATAGGGATGAGGTCTTGCTGTGTTGCCCAGGCTAGTCTCAAACTCTTGTGCTCAAGCAAAAAAAAACTGTAAAGGCACAGAGGTCGTCCCCAGCCCTGCCCCACCACCCCAGTTTCCTTTCTGCATGTGACCCTATGCGTGCATCTTACTTGTTGGAGGATGCTGAGGTGTGGCCTGACTTCCAGAGGGACAGCATGGAAGGGAAGGGTGTAAGAGCGACCTTACCGCCAGCTGTGGTGGCTCACACCTGTAATCCCAGCACTTTGGGAGGCTGAGGTGGGAGGATGGCCTGAGTCCAGGAGGGCGAGGCTGCAGTGAGCTGTGATCCTGCCACTGCATTCCACGGCCTGTCTGAGGATGTCTCCATTCCCCTGGGAAGGGGCTGACCCAAGGGCGTCCCTGGGGCGGCTCTGTCCCCAGGGGACATTTTCACTGTCACAGCTGGAGGCAGGGGTGCCCCTGGTACCTGGGGGGTCTAGGCCAGGGACACCACTCCTCATCCTAGTGTATAGGACAGCCCCACAGAAAAAGACCCTACCCAAATGTCAGCTGAGCCCGAGGGGGACCAGCCCAGCCTGCCGGGACTTGAGTGTGGGTTTGGAGTCAGGCTGAGACGCAAATCCCACGTCCCACCCTCGCCGGGGCCCAGCCTCCTTGCCTCCTGCCTCTGCTGTTTTATAGCCCGAGTGTGCCAGCAGCTCCTTCCAGGTGATTAGGAGGACTGGGACGTCCCCATGTGGGGGCCTGAGGCAGGAAGCTCGGCCAGCAGGACACACACAGGGAGGCCAGCTAGGGTCCTGCCGGCAGAAGGTGTCACCGCTGAGGAAGGGGCAGAGGAAAGATGAATGGTGGCAGCTCAAGGTCTGAGGGAGGGCGACGGGTCACGTCCTGCCTTTGTTCCGTGCCTGGGAAAGGCCTGTCATCAGCACTGTCCTGTGAAACTCAGCAGACAGCTCCGCTGCCCAGACTCACCGAGGCTGCCGGCCTGAGGTCACAGTGGGAGGAACTGACTTACGAAGAGTTTGCGGGGAGTCATTTGGAGACACCCGGGGCCTTTGTTTCTTTGTTTTGTTTTATCTGGGGGGGTCTGGCTGACACACAGGCCTTGACACAAAGTCAGGAAGCCACGGCCATCCATCTGGGAAAGGGACAGCTATGCTGCGTGACCCAGTGTCCAGGCTTCACTTTCCCTTTGGCATACTGAGTTGGGAAGGTCCTGATATTTTTATTTTCTTTCACAAGATGAAACAACAGGCTGGGTGTGGTAGCTCACATGCCTGTGACCCCAGTGCTTTGGGAAGCAAGAGGATCACTTGAGCCTATAAGTTTGAAACTAGCCTGAGCTGGGCTCGGTGGCTCAGCCTGTAATCCCAGCACTTTGGGAAGCTGAGGCAAGTGGACTGCCTGAGCCCACGGGTTCGAGACTCACCCAGGCAACTTGGTGAGACCTCGTCTCTACAA